GAGAGAGAGAGAGAGAGAGAGAGAGAGAGAGAGAGAGATAGGAGGAGTGTAGGTGGGAGAAGATAAAACACACAGAGGATGACAGTAAGGGTAGTATTGTAACTTTTTACAAACCGGGGGGGGGGGGGTATTATAGTGAAATTTTACTGTTTAGAAAGTTAATCTGATTTTTTTGTTCTTTGTCAGTTCAGAATCCATTGCAGTCTGTTGTTTCATTGAGATTGACTTTTTCTTTTCCATGTAATTGTTATAATTTTATAAAAGCAAAACAGAGATTTTTAAATTTAATAAGTTATGTTGAGACGATCTTTGATGTATAATTAATGAGTCCACGTATGACGCAATGCTTATTTGCCACGTGTACGTTTCTCCTACAAATTCAGTTTCATTGTACACACCATGTAAATGTAGGTATATGTGGGCAAGTGAGAATACAAAACACTGCAAAAATATCATTACAACTTTCATCTCATCATGGTAATATTGCATGTCCAAATTATCTAGAAATCCAAGTAAATTTTCAGTTAATATTTGACATAAGAAAATTCATGTTGTTCGGGAGTTTCATATGAAAGATACAGCACTAAAATGTGCTTGTCAGGCTAATTACTTTGAAGGCACTGTGAAAATTATTTAAATTTCCATATTAAAATTATATTAGTGATCCAATTTCCATTCTTTATAATATTTTCTGATTATGATGCTAATTCATTTAAGTGCAATATTTTATGAAATAGTGGTACTTGTTGTGGTTGCATCTGGCAGTTTTTAATTGTAAATCATTATTGGAGTTACAGACTGCTGTTAAATATAATAGTCTAATTTTATATTCCAGGAAAGCCAGTTGTGAAATTCATTTTTTCTGAATCAATTTTTATGGTGCAAGGTCTCAGCACATTACACACAAAGAAATTTTTCTTTTTGTTTTACGTATCTTGTCTTAGAATTTTTCTTAACGAGTCATGTTACGTTGTCTTGTGGTATTTTTATTTTTATGTCATGATTAAACGAATTCATACCAGACATGAGCTTTTTCTGTGGAAAAGTGGAATTACGCTTTTTTAAATTCAATTCTGATGGTTTCTGAGATTTGTCAAGGTTAACACTAAGTGTTGGGCCCCATGATAATTGTTAAAAAAATTATTTTGAACCTAGGCTCATGTCTGCCTACCTTCAAACACCTTAACGTAAATCTTGCTTTAAAAAAGAAACTTACAGCAATATTACTTGTTAATAAAAAGGGGGTGAAATGATGCCACGAAGACAAATTTATGGGCATATTCATTTTTTTTCGTAAGGCAATGGCATTTTATTAACAAACACTGCCTGAATATTTAACCATCACGTGCATCTAGTTAAACTACTCCACTCTTATTTGTAAGGTCGTTATCTTGAAAATGGCATGAGGGGCTGATATCATACTTTGAATCATTTTTCCTCTAGTCAACCGGTTTAGTGTAACTAGATGAGATATGATACATTTTGTTAGGAAATTACAAAACATACTTTGCTTAAACAAAAACCAACAAAAAACGTAGTTATGCCATGTTTACAAATTAAGTTTATACCGTTTAAGTGCGTGTCACGACAAAACGACTACAATATCTATAAAAACAATAGCATTTTATTACAATCCAATCCATACAAAATTAAAGATATATATACAGAGATTCACTAATTTCCTCGTGATATTATCAATCATACCATCCATCAAGCCACTAACCGATTTATACAGTTATTCATACTCATACACAAAGCATGCTACATAAGCTACATGCGGTAGATAAGATAAACGTGATAACTGTTGGTTTTAGTCTAGTGGGATTTCCACAAAAGATGAATGGTAGGGGCATTTTGGGGTAAAAGTTGGGAACCAGGCTTAATAGCATAATTTTGGGATGCTGAATCCGATTTACCCGGTTCCCAAGCGAAATTTTGCGTTTTTAACAGTCTTATTTGCAAAAAAACAAAATGGCCGCCAGATTTCCTATTTTCTGCAATATCTCTGGAACTAGACAGGCAAATATTACAAATGAAGTGTCTTAACCTATATTTTCAGGGTCGAGGAACATTATTAAGATGTTTCTGTTAGAATTAGATTTACTCAATATTCCAAAATATGCAAATTAGGATCGCCATTATTGAAAAACCATTTTACTTCTGTATCTCTGTAACTAGGCAAGCAAACATGACAAATGAATTGTGTCTACACCTATGTTATCAGGGTCAGGGAATGTGATAAATCAGATGTCTTGTCTTTTGGGTAGCACTGACTTTGTGAATCATGTCCGAGTAGCACCTTTTATTGTTTCTTCCCTGTATCTGTCAAACACAAGTCAATCTGCTGATAGTTAGAACCTGCCTTCAGAACTGCTTTTGCGTTAACTAGGCAAGCAAACATGACATTTTAAGTGCCCACACCCATGTTTTTAGCATTAGGGAAAGTGATTAAGACATTTTCACTATAATCAAATCAGCAATGAGTGCTACACTGTCACACTGTAGCAATTATTCGAATCTGAATTGAATTTTGCAATTAAATACTGCGCTGCCATTGGGATGTAAACATATTGGATCACACAACTGCCCCTTTTACCTAGATTTAAAAAAGATTACCTTATTAATGCAATGGAGGGATTTGCCGAATCATGTAATTCATGTGATGCAATGTACAGACCTCACATTTAAAATGGATTTTTTCAAACATATTTTCTTTTTTCCCATATATTAGTAATGGATGAAAAAAACACTTGTTATCGTGTTCGATATGGATTTAATAAATCAACCCGTGTGAATACATCATCAAAAATTTGATTTAAATACGTATTCATATCAGCGTTATAAACAGCGCATGGATAATTTTATAGCTGATAACAACGAGGTATTAAATTCTTAAGAACTCGATATTATCAAGAATATCAGTTGGTAAGGATTTTCTCTCACACAAAAGAATCATCAAGACAAATGTGAAAAATGGAAACTGATAACAACGCGTGCAGCCTCTTCTAGCTGCAACCAGAGCCCTCATTCCATGCAGAGAGGTTTCTGAGAGTGTGATCCAGTGTTGTGTTACACGCATTAGTCAGAGATTGCATAAGCTTGTGCCGATTTGTAGGCTGGACGGGTAAACTCTTGATTCTGCTAGCGATTTATGCCCACTGGTTTTCTATAGAATTCATGTCAGGGGAATTTCGTCGGCCAAGGCAACTGGTTTACCTCTTGGTTTTGCAGAAAAGCAGTTATTGCATGGGCATGGTGTGGTCGGGCATTGTCATCTTGCAGGATGAAGTTGTCCTGGAAGTACCTTCTTGCAAATTGCAGCAAGTACTCTCTAAAATGTCCCTGTATTTTATCTGGTTCAAGTTTCCGTCAATTGCCACCAATATTGTTTTGGCTCCAGAGTGGAAACCGGCCCATACAGAGATACTGCCACGGCCACAAGTCACTGTAGTGTGACACAATCCTCGTGCAGTAACTCGTCTGGAAACATNCCTTTTTTCAAAAATCTCACTAGACTATTTAAACCAGTAGCCATTTCTCTCTTCTATTAAAGCAGGTAAGGTATTTCATTTAATTGGACGATTGCCGATTTCACGTGCGTCAAATCAACGACCGCCACAAAGACCTTATTCCTTTGGTTCCTTTTTTTTTTTCACTCGCTTTATCAGAGTTTGATGATAAACATGGCGCATACTGGTTGACATACGTGGGAATTTATTTCTTCGTGTGGGCCATTTTTTTTTTCTATTTTCAGAGGTCACTATTGTAAAGCATTTTGTATAATCTAAATTATTAACTCTCACTGAATCGATGAGAAATTATCGGGAACAATCATGTTTCTACATATAAATATATTATCTTGGCCAAAGCAAATCAGTTTCAACCTTTGACTAAACACATACATGTAGTATGTTAGCGTTAGTTCAGTTATACTTTACAATAAGTAATAAATGGAAATGATATTCCAGAAATACCGTCTTCCAGGTTTTGTTTAGAACCATTATGCCGGAAAAATGTCATACATTTTCCCTTAACCTAGGTCACAGCAAATTACCGCCAACAACATAAGCAAAATATAATGTAACTTTATAAACTGGAGAGTAAGGCTAAAATTTCATGAAATACGAAATAAGTCTTCGAGACTTAGGTTGAGTCCATTCTTTCTTTTACTTTAGCCAAACTACACGAATAACATGCCTCTACCTTTTCCATTTCTCATTCTTTTAAATATACTACACGCATAATAAATATGACATTCATTCCTAACGTTCAAAAAAACACACTGAAATTGACGCTTCACCATATATGTTAATAGAACTTTGTTCGATTTCATTACACGTAACAACACATCATTTGTTCCCTTCACTCACAACACATAGAATCACTCACATTACATGATAATGCAGGGGACCTTATCTTCCTTCATTTTAATCTGACCGTGGTACAGAATTTCTCGGGTACCCCGAGGGTCTACCACTGGTAGTGCCATATAAATCTGTCCGAGTAAAAAACTGTGCATCTGCATACTGATAACTTAACCGACTGCAAATTAACCGCCGAGTTCCATTCAGTTTTTCGACGTGATAGCTAGTCAAAGCAAACATTGTAAATTATAATTCTCTGGCTGTAGCGCACGGAATATTTGCAATGTGCGCTCCACGCCTTTCTCGGGGGCAGAACCTGCAAGGCTTTGCTATTAATGTTCATCGCTTTTACTAAGGATAAAGTTTTAATTTCCTTAACGGTAGTCAAACTTGCAGATTGAAAACAATTTCTTAACAAAAATAAAACTATAATCACATTTTTTATTATTAAATGTAATGTATTCTATATATCCTATTATTTATATCAAATCTGCCAATGAAACTTCAGTGCTTCAGGGATCATTATCATAAAAAACGAGACCAACAAGCCCACTGAGAGTCAGGGTGACGTAACGCCTCGTTCCCTCACCGTATCAGGATTAATCGATACCTAGGGCATTCAGGTAACTCAAAATATTTGCCTAAAATACCGTTGTGTGGGTCTGCCGCACACATAGATATCTGATAAAACTGTGATTATTGTGATCAATCAGTGCGATTATCATTAGGGGGTTATGATAACGATTTGATTTGATTAGCGCGCAGGCTATATGGCAGTCTACACATAAACTGGCAGAATCAGCATGACCCCCCCTTCCCTACTTAAAGTGCTCTGGTGGTGCTTAAGTCATTTATTAATATATATTTATGTCGCTTTGTTAATGTAGTAGCAATCTAGGGATTGCACTTGAAAAATTTTCTTTTCAGACTCTTCAACAATTCTTTCACATGGGAATGCAGCGTTTTACTGATAAAATAGGGTGGACCATTTATACGCCACCAGTTTAAAAATTAGGCAGTAGCACAAAATATTTCACCACAGTAACGTTTGATGCTCTAGGCCTACAGTGAGATCGAGCGCACACAGAGGCATGCATATACTGGATAATACACCTATCTAATCACTTTCACTGATAGCGCAGACGGAAGAATAGTTCTAGGTTCTCATGTGAACTCCGTCACTTCGTCTAAACTTACCCTGAAATTTGTTGTCGATATGGGTTTGTCCATGCCAAAATAACAACAACGCGCACCACTCTCAATCATGTACCAAATACAAATAATCACTAGTTCTTCACATGTAGACGTTTCTACAGAATATAAGTTTTCCGAGGACAAAAATGCCTACATCTCAGCTAAAAGTGAATCCTGCATCCGGTCTAAGAAATAAATGAATAAATAAATAAATAAATAAATAAATAAATGCGTACATTACACCGCTACATCCTGTGAGGACTTGTCGCTGTGAAATGCATCGGAATAATGTCATCATATATAGCACTTCCACAGGTTGTTGACGCATCGTTTTTCGTATCCGGTGAGGCAGTAACGAATGCCCCATTTTGATGACCAACGTCCGCTCCCTCTCTTGTGTTAATGGGTAATAACATATCACCCGACGAATCTGTTGTAAATACTGCTTCTTTCTCCTCGTTTGTCTCTTTGTCTGCTCCACTGATCGTCGATTGCTTAACACGCCAAGCGCACATTGAATAAAAAAGTGTTTTCGTCGCATGACAGCAACGCTGTGGTGCTGTCGTAATTCGGTAGGAATGTCGCCTGCTCCTTAGCCTTTCTTCAACCTCCTGGAATTTGGATAATATGTGAACCTTCACAGGAATTGCTTCTCTGCTCTCGTCTTCTAGTCGATGAGAAATGTTTCGTTTTAAACGTCTGTTTCTTCTGATGATGAAAAATGCAGCGACTGACACGCACGCACACGCTCCTAACAGTACTACTACGATTGCCCACACTGGTATCGTGATTGTTGAGGCTCCCTTTGAACCGTCGGGGTAGGGGTAGATCTGGCAATCGCTGTAATCCTGCAGGAAAATCTGAGAACCTTTCAGCGGAGCTGGGGAGCTACAGGCATACTCCGCTGGGGACGGCCACAATTCGTCTTTTCCTTCAGCAGAACTTGAATTCAACCAAAATACAAACGATGCCAAATCGCAGTTGCATTCAAATGGATTACCACGAGCGTCAAAGGTCCTGAGACGGTGCAGTTTGTCTAAAGCGACTCCGCCAATTGTAGCGATGAGATTATGGGATATGTTCAGGTGTTGCAAACCCTGGATCTTAGAGTTGACAATCGCTTGAGGAAAAGTCTTTAATTTATTTACACCTAGATTTAATATAGTAAGATTGTCGGTGCCACTGAAAGCGTGATCATCAAAGTATTCTATCTTATTGTTTTGTAACCGCAGAGCTTTCAAATGTGCCAGATTTCTGAATGTCGAACTTATTAGTTGCAGTTGATTACCTGCAAAATTAATGGATTTAAGATTTTTAGTCTCCGTAAATACGTCATCCGACAGGCTGCGTATCGTGCTTGATTGTAGGTCAAGGACGGTCAAGTTCTCTAGTCCTTGAATCATTTCTTTGGTCAAACTATCCACGTAAACCTCGGGCAAAATTAGGCTCTTCAGATTATGAAGATCTTTGAAGGATCCATCCTCGATGGACGCAAGAGAGTTATACCCACAGTCTAAAAACTCCAGACTTTGAAGACCGTGGAATGAATCTTTTGTCAGATATTTCAGATCGTTTTCATTGAGCAGTAACGTTTTCAGTTTACGCAGGTAACGAAGAGCTGACGAAGGAGAAAGATCGTGAATCAGATTGTTAGATAAATCCAAGTATTCCAAAGACCGAAGTCTGCCAAGCGCTGTAGGAATCTCCCTGAGGCGAGCAGCACGAAGATTGAGCGATTTTAAGGATCGCAAGCCATGGAAAGTTCGGTCATTTATTGACTCTAAGTAGAAACTGAAGGATAAATCCAAGTGCTCTAAAGTTGAAACGCAGGTGAAAACTCCAGCTCTGAGCGACTTGACAAAGTTATGAGCCACAGATAAATTTTTGATCTGCGTTGATTGCAAGTTGCAGAAAGTCGATGGCGTTAGATAGGTCAGTTTGTCGTGAAAATTACGAAGAGATAACGACTTGATTTGGGAATCACGGAGACCGTAGAGAGAGAGGGCTATTTCAGATTCTGAGAGAGCGTTCTGGTCAAGAATAACAGTTTCTAGCGTCTCTATTTCCTTGAATGCGTACGCCTGAATGTAGGAAATCCCATTGTTCGTCAAATTCAGTAAACGTAATCGGGTTTCTTTCAAACCAATGTGAAATTTTATGTCAATTGTTTTAATTTTGCTTCCTGTTAGAGAAAGATGCTCTAAATTTCTTAAAGTTGTAAACACTCTGAAATCCGCCCGGACCATGTGCGGCGAATTGTTCAAATACACCGCTCTCAGAGACGTAAGATTCGTAAACACGTCAGGAAGTGACGTCAAGTTGTTGCCCGACAAATCGAGAACTTCCAGGGACTGCAAGCCTCGGAAAGCCGTAGGCGAAATATAGCTTAACCTGTTATTGGCTAAAATGAGGCGCCGTAAATTTGTGTATTTCTGTGTTGAAAAATCGACAGGTGGGTCGATATCAGTTTTGGCAAATGGCATATCACGTCTACCTAAAGATGTGATTGTATTATCGCTCAAATCTAAGGTGGAGATGTCGTTCGGTAAATCCCCTGGCGGTGAGGTGAGTCCCCGTCTTTGACAGCGTGCATATTGCCCATCCGCTGTGCTGACAACCTCACAAATTTGGTTACCTGAACTCAAGTTGAAAAGCACGGCAGTGACCAGAACACCACAGAGGCTGAGAGAATTCATACTAAATTGCAGCATCTTGACGACGGCTGAATACCATCCCTGTAATTAACATAAAGCAATATTATTTAATGCCTTTTTGAGAGCTGAACGTTTTGATATAGATGCCGTTAAATGCAAAATGGCCAAAATTACAAACGTCCTATTAATATATTTAAATATCACAAGTGATGATAACTACAAATCTAAAACAGAGTTAAAAAGCAGCATGAATATTTAAATATTAAATTTATGTTAAAATCACAATTAAGAATCCACTGCAACGCCACATTCGGAACAGTAGTAACCTCTTTGAGTTTGACAATGGACTGAAACGTATATGCATACTTGCTGAGACTAACTGATGGTTAGAGCCACGTCCAAATGAGGTGTTGGTCCATTTACTCAAGGGAAATGTTCCAATAATGACAAAGTGTGAATTATTACATAAATTACTTTACTTCTCAGACCATAATAACTCTAAAGTTAACGAATAGAAACTCTCTGACGAACCTGCTCCAGTTTGCTGTCGCTCAAAGAAAACCTCAAAATAAAGATATATCCAAGTTTTAGTCGAAAATTGAGCTAAACGACTGTGAAAGAAGCCCATCGCCAAAAATCTCAATGGCAAGAAGACTGCTATTTTGACAACAGGCCAATTGAATTTTATTGAATCCCACCTAAAGTTACTTTTGTTTTCATGCCAAATGTTAATTAATTGAATTTTTTGTTTTACCGTAATTACAGAATATTGCGTTGTTTGTTATCAACCACCCTTACTCACCATCAATCATGCTTAATGCTATGTCAAATGGTCTTCAAGTGGTTAAACACTGGTTGAAAAGTACTTCAGCGTCAACTCGCGTTGTTCAACATTTGTTCTTTTATACACATGGTCTTATCTCGACCGTACGTGGGTCTGTATCACCCCAGCTGCAGTATGCGAAGAGAAGGGATGTCCAAATTTGATCAAAACTTCACATGTCATGCCCTTCCATGTTAAATTCAGATAAAACAGAACGGCGAGGAGGCAAAGGGGTCAAATGAATCATATGGGTGCTGGGTAACAATAATTGCCATGTGACATTGCGTTTGCGTTGGGGATCAATTAAAGGTTCGTTTTTTATCTAAAAAATGTGGCTATGTGACCGAGGTGATTCAAACAAATATGACAAATATTCTGAATCGTTCGAACTTAAGTTAACAAGATTATTTATCAGTCAGCTTTATACATTTATCTGTCATGTACCTACATCACGTGTACGGATCATATTAATGTATTTTATTAGATAATTCTATAATTCCTATTGAGAGGGTACATCAAGTAGAATACCACGTACATATTAACAGCCGTCCTGTAAACTCAGTATTTCAGATTTTTTATGTTAAATCATCGATATTTACCGTCAATCGATGTATTTTATAAAACAACACAAAACAATGTTATAAAATTTAGGCCGCGCGTGACGCGTCTCCCCTATGAGAGCCCAGAGGCAATTTGTGTTTGTCACGTGGTTTGGACCAGAGCCAAATGTTGTAAACACTATTTACACCTCGACTGCCTAATGAAACGGAAAAGTAAATGCTAATCGAAATGTCCATCCTGTTATTCATTCTAGAGAGCGGAGAAAATAATTTGTGGAAAAAAAAAAAATATATATATATATTCGTCCAAATCTCTCTAGGTTGCTAACATTTTATGGTTGAAAAGCACATTAATTTAAGGACAGTGCAAATCATGATCTGAAAACAATAGGAATCGAGCGTTGAATAACGCCCCCCCCCCCCCCAAAGGAGCGCACCCGCAACTAAGCGTATTTCAATCATACTGTACTCAGATGAAATTTTCCTGTGATTATCAGGGGCTCTAACATTAGGATCACTACGTCAGAATGTCAGAAAATGCGACAGAGGTCACTGTGAGTAATGTTCTATGGGGCAAATCGTACTGGCAGTGGGGTATAGGTGGTTATTGCCAAATTTTCGAAAAAAAAAAGACTTCACTCTTCCTTGCACGTACGTATATGTACAAATGCAGGTGTGAATCGGGGGGTGGAAAGAGGGCCACTCATACCCTAGGTTTAACCGAGACACCACTAAACCTGGGGCTTTAAAAAAAGATGGGGCTATATGGCGGTGTGGTGCTTGTAGTAGACTCAGTATTCGTCTTTCTTGTTTTTTTTTTCAATTGTTGAATTAAACAGTGCTTTATCGGGACAAAGCATCGTAAAATGCCAATAGATTATATAGACTATTGCATACTAATATTTACTTAAGTCGGACATCTTAAGCCAGAACGGTTTTCCTGGCTCCTGCTATCTCTTGGATATTTTAGAAAAGAAAAAAATTAAACTGATTGAAGAAATAATGTAATTTTTGTATTGTTTTCCCAACCTTTCCTTTCTTTTCGTTTTCGTGTCCTTATGAGCCGCATGAACCGGCCCTGTGAGTGAGTTATTCGAAATAGAGCTCGGGGAATTAAATGAGAGGTTGAAGTCAGCGCCTAAAGGCCCAGTCACAAATCAGTTGCGATGCGTCGGGGATGGGTAAAACCCGGGAAATTTGAACAAAATCTTGAGACAGATCTCACGATTTTGCACCCGTCGGAGGCGCTCTCCGGACGCCTGCGGGTTGTCGCAGATTTTTTAGACATCGCCACACCCGTCGCGGTCCCCAACTTTGAACTTAAAATTTTAAGATTGCTCGCAAGATTTTTCACCCATTTTGGGCATCCCAGACACAATCTCCGATGACCTACGATGCCCTCCGATTAATCGGAGGCGTCCTCCGAATATATACCCATATATAACCACATATACCCAGGGGGAAAAAAATTATGAGAAAAGACGCTCGCAGATATCGTCTCCGATCGCCTCCGATGCAATCGGAGGCTAATCCCACGATTTTTCAACAAAACCGGGTCAAAATCCTTGAAAAAAATCTCAGACAATGTGAATGCTCCACTTTTATTAGGATTATTGCTAGGATTGTTCAAGGATTCTTTATTTTCTACGACGACCCCCGGCCAAAACTAATCCCCGACAGATCGCCGACATTGTGACTGGGCCTTAAGCCTCTCGCCACAGAAGTGAAATGTATAATTTAGAACTTAGCTTAAATGTCAGTCTTAGTACATTAATGGAAAAAAAGTGAAGACGCGTCCAGTGCCGTTTTAAATAAAATCGTTTTTGGACTATAACCACAGTAAGTAGATGGCTTGGTTGCAACTGAACTACGGGATTTTATTCTCTTTACCAGAGATCCCTTCTAGCTGCTACAAATTTAGACGTTCATTTTTGTAACAGTTAGAGGGGCCTTGGTTAGAGAGTAACTGGGTCAACGGGGGGATTAATCATTTATATATTTTCTCGTTATATATATATATATATATATATATATATATATATACTGACCGCTTTACTTATGGTGTGTGAAATCAAATTGCGCACATTTCCTGTACACACTTATAGTAAGTCTTTTGACGGTTTTACTTAAAACGGCGATGAACACGACCTGGCGCGCATATCTACAAATACCTTAACTGGCTGTGACTTCCTATCATCAAATTAGCGCGTACAATATTGCGTACAGCCTCAAATCTTGGTAAGAATAACATGCAATATTTTACCAGCAATTACTCCGTGTTGAGACTTCTAGTAAATGATCCGTCAGTACTCATCCAGAAACGCCACATTACGAAGTCGATCCCAATTAATGAAAAAATATAATCCAATTTCTCTATCACTTCTCGTAGCTACATGTACCACACCAGAGTGTTGAATGTGCAATACTAAAAAAATGGCGTGTTATGATTTCCCGCATCATTTCCGGTCCTCGGTGTCAATGTTTTGAGCAAACAGAACTTTATCTCAGTGAAAAGATTCGCAGGTAATAACGCCAGACACCAATGTAGTTTTATCAGTGATCAATGATCGCAGGGCGGGTAAAATTGAAAAGGCGACAAAAACGTCACGAATGAGGTGTTTGCTTACTAGAGAGATAAGCGGTTCACTTAAGGCAAAACCAAGGAATAGGGTTTTGGTAGCATAGAACGCCCCCCTCACCCATTGCCCCACCCCATTAACATTCCAGTAAAAGCTCTTAAAACTATATGTTGTCGACAAAAATAATGTATTGCTCAATATAAAAAGTTTAGTGAAGAAACATACATGTAACCCTCTCTCTCTCTCTCTCTCTCTCTCTCTCTCTCTCTCTCTTACACACACACAAACACGAAGAGAGAGAGAAGCACACGCACCCACAGAAACACGGTCAGACATATGTATTACATACATACACAAGCACTCTAAATTTCCTTCTCTTATATACACACCAACACGAACAGGCTTGAACGTACGTACACACACACACACACACACACACACACACACGTATTCTAGGTAACGTATAGGTTTCTACAATCTCAATTTCACCCGGGTCTTTTTATGCGACGTAGATAAGTATGATGTTTTCAACTGCCACTCATAAAAACGCCGGTTCACATGATCTATCTATGTTCTAAGGAGGTAGCTGCTGCCAAATAGACTCATGAAAAATCTTTTAGTTATTTATTAATAGCTTGCCGATATTTTAAGGCGTTCATATATCTGTTTACAGGCCTGTAGCCAGCAATTGCAAATGGGGGGGGGGTTTCTCTTTCTGAAAATGCGGACCTATTGTCAAGAAACCTTAGGTTACCTAGATCAGTTTTCCCAGAGTGGACCTTTTCCCAGGAAGAAGGGGGTTCAAAAGGACCCCTCCCCTTGGCTATGGGCCTGGTTAACTACTTTGCGTTTATTAATTTCCACCCATATTGTACATAATGTATTCACAATGTTTGTGGTGCTTTAGTTAACTTTACAATTACATTGAACCTCATAGTTTTAAAGAAGATAAATTCATCTTCAGGGTTAATCTTTATCCTGATCACAGACACATGAGAGGGAAAATGGTACGTGTAGGGGAGACCGGGGCTAGTTGGACCCCAGGGTAAGTTGCCCCCCCCCCCCCCCATCAATTTATGAAAAAGTAATCATGGGGTAAAAAAAATTGATCACATCATTTAGTAAAGTGACCGTATCCAATAGTGCTAAGAAAGCGTCGGTCGTAAAGAAGTTTTATGTGCCCGTGCGGGGCAAGTTGGCCCTGACGTTATTTGCGTTTTTTTTTTTTTTTTTTTTGTTAAATTGTGAGCCATCTGGCATTGTATTTGAAAAATAATGACTTTGCATACGTAGCTTAGTTCATGGGACTCTATTTGAAACCGGTTTTGTTACTCTAACTCATTCCTAGTTGGCTCTACAAGGCCAAAAGTGCTTAACTGGGCCAACTACTAGCCCCGGTCTCCCTTACGTTTAGCTAGTAATTTATCAGATAACATTTCAGTGCTAACAATTCCGGCCAATGGTCAAAAAGATATGGTGGCATGCTATGTTAAAGATTGTTTTAGTTCATAAATCATGGAGAAGAGGTTTTTGTCATCAAAAGCCCTCTTTTCTCACTATCGAAATTTGAAAAAGAAAATTGACCTTCATTTATAGTGTAAATATTGCAAATAAATCTAGGAAACATTTTACATGTACTGAGTGCAGGAAAACTTTTGATAAATAACTGTTTCATAAGGTACATGTATGTATTTCACTTGAACTTTATTCCGTGCATTAGATATTGACTTTTAAACGAGTACACTGATCAGTCTATTACGGTAAAACATATTGGCGATAACTTGAATTAAGCAATTAATGAAGGCTTAAGACAACTTTTAAGTTTAATAAACACATTTGTAGTTGGGTTATCTTATACCGAATTACCAATTCTTGATAATTCAAATACATTCGTCATATTGGCGGTAAATATTAATCTAATTGTTAGAAGAGTCATCTATCATAAACCATAACATTGTACAAACATTTCTTCAGATAACAAGGGCGTTGAAATAAAGTCATATAATAAGCTGTATATAATAGGGCCCAATAAACTCGACAAGGTTAAAAAGCTGCCATGAATGCGTGTATTATTCTTATCATGAACGTTCTTATCAAAGTCAATTGATTACAATGCCATAAAATAAGTATTCTGTGATTCGTGTTTATCTCACTAGCCTTATTTTTAAAATAATACGTGTTTTTTTCTATCACTATTTTAACGGCTGTGTATCTCATTTGAAATCCAGTCTTATCTTATGAAGGCAATGAAAAATAGACAAATAGAATACAAAACACAACACAGGGCGCTTTAATTAAAAACTATTGTATATAACCTCACAAAAATTTTAAAAGGCAACTATTCATCAAGAGAGCTGTTCGATTTTTATCGACGTACTCAGAATTGGATTTTTGTCAATATCCTACAGTGGATAACCAATCCTCCCCCCCCCCCCCAAAAAAAAAAAAAAATAGCGTGGTCGTCAAATTTTAGTTATATACTAGAAAAAGTATTTGTGCTTTTGTTAATCATTTATGAACTGATTATTCATATAACGCAAAAGCAATAAGATATTGAGATAAAAGGGGGCATGTAAACATTCTTATAGATATTTTAAGATTATATGTGTATCATAATAAACGAACATTGATAATGACACTAGTTGTCATCTGAGAACTTGTCGAAGGTAGAAACTACTGACTGTATGTCAAAGCGGACACCGAAGCAGATACGTCTGTATGTATTCATATATTCTGCGTTTCTTTTGATTTCAGAAATAATGATGTCATTTTAGTGTTGGAAATAGCAAAAATCATAAATTGGTAAACGATGAATGGTAGTTAACGTGTAAAGAATTGAGAAACCTATTATCCCATTTCTCTTTGACAGACAAATATGATAGGCTTAACCTGTAGAAAGATAAATACTTAAGTGACAATTTTTGGTGAAAATGGTCTTATATCCTTTCCTTTGAAGTGATATATACAGAATAAGTGAAAATATTTACCAAGAGGAAACCTTGTTCTTGTATAACTTAATGTGAACACTGAAAAGAACTTATTCATTGCTAATTCAACTACAATACTATGTTGGATGCAGCACAGTTTAATTATATCAAATTCATTTACTTTTAAAGGACTAAGGAATATACTAGAATTAACCCTTTTCATGGGTTGTGCGTGGTTTAAACCCCAAGCTCCTATAAGGGAAGATAATAGGCCTACTACTAACAGACCACGAGAACAGGAACAGATCGCCGAAGAGTCAGAAGTGCATTTTGTCCATTTTGGAACTGAGGAGGTTGGGGAGGTTACTGACACGGATTTAACGAGGATTCGCCCTCCAGGTAGTATATATCTGCACGTCCACGATACTGGGCCCGGTTGCACCAACCGGTCGTAAGTAAGGCGTAGCAGTTGCGCCGGCGTAAATCCAGCGCAAAACGATTCGTCCGAGAAAAACCAGTTACACCAAACTGGAATAGTGTTTACACCAGTCTTAGCCTCGTTTTCCACTATGGCTAGGCTACCACAGAGAGATTTGGATGACAATTATCGTAGTTAACGTAGAAAATGTGGGTTGTTATTTGTTTACTTTTTTACACAAAACTTCCGTCTGTATAATTGAGAGGTAGCTTGGTTTTTAAAAATCTGATTATACATGCTTCATCCGGGATTCGAGCTCGTGACTTCGAGTTGCCATGGTTGATGGCGCTTTGGGTACCTCAGTTGTATCCAAGCACGTTACCGACTGCGCCGTGACATATATATATATCACTTCATGTATACTTTCTTAAGTATACCGTGTTTTTGTAATTTGCTAGGACCCACGAGAGCCCAGATTCGTTCTCGTGAGATCCCGATTGAGGGGCCCGGTCGTTGTCGTTATGGGCTGACATGCCTCATACGGGATTCGACCTTGTGACTTTGCGTTGCCATGGTTGATGGCGCTTTGGGTACCTCATTTGCATCCAAGCACGCTACCGACTTCGCCGTGACAGACCCGCCCAACCTACGCACGTACGACTTTCCTCTTATAGTAACCAATCGGAATTTTTAAGATTTAATTCTGGAAAAAAAAAACTACTACGTTTGCTGGGTCTGTTGGGTCTGTTGGGTCCGTTGTCTGACTATTTAGGAGACGGCATAGTTACCACGGAGCCAGTTCAGCTTGGTTGACACGCAGCGATCGGATGGAAACTTTCAACCTTGCCACGTAGAGGGCCAGGTTGGATGTACATGTGTATATCTGCTATCCCAATCGATAATCTGGGTGCCGCATTTCATCCCACGCAAACCCAGTCCCCGACCACGGTTTATCATGAACGGTAAAATTCATGATGTACAGGAAGCCATGCGTGTTTGAGAACCCGACACGGAACTGGGAGTTTGTTTTATACTAAGATTAATTTTGGCTTTACCCATGATATTAAAGAGTACAGTGGGATCAAAGGCGGTTCACAACAGGCGTGTTTTAGTTTTAGCGAGACCTTAATAAGAGAGGGAAAAAACATTCAAATGTGTAGTAACTGGTGCGATTTCCATATAAGCAATTGCAGCGATGGAAATTTTGAATAAAATAAATTATACAAATAATTCCACCGAGAAGATATCATTTTTCTACTGAACACGGTTAACAGGTGGTATGACGTGCTGTTTTACCGGAAAAAGCTACAAGTTCGTTGGCTTTCATCGACAGGCCTGCTCGGAACGTTTCTAGTTAGATGACTTCAGATGCTTTTATTTTCATTTTGTTTTGCACTGAGATAACGTTTGCTTTCACCTTTGACGATATACAGCACGATGAGGTCCACAGCTGTGCACACCTGGGCGGTTTCAGTATTTAGCAGTCTTAACTCTTTCAAATGTCGATAGCGGACTTGCCCTGGTTACTCTATGAGCTTTCTTCTCTATAATATACAGCTGCAAAACGGACTGGTATGTCTGTGGCCCAGATGTAAGCGCTGTTTTAGTATCATTTTCGACTAAGAATTAAAAATTTTAAAATTCACAGCAATGTTTGGAAAAAATGCCTGTTATAATAAAACAAATCCACCCCCTTTCACATGAAAGCACCAACATTGTAATCCAACGCATAAGAATATTTTGACAGACTTTCCAAGATGATCACCCTCTGCTGTTACTCAGTATCATGAACGTGAAGATATATAGGGGAAAGGAAAATAGGTCGTTTTTTTTTTTTTGGACCACCCTGTATATATACTCCCCTAGCAAAACGTGTCATCCCTACCGCAATTATGTACATTGCTACAAGGGTGCGCGTAGTTTTAATCTTACTATCAAATAACAACTAGGCAACCGATCATTGTATAAATTGGGGATATGAGTAGTAGAGCAGAGGCCTACCTAGCGTAACCATTGAAATACTCAAAAAAGTGTCCTTAATGCAATGCGTAAAGTGATACAGAAAATCATGTCATGAGCTAATGTTTTATTTCAACTTCTACAGTAGAAGCATTTTTCAAAGTTTTCCTTAAGGAAGACATGTTAACACCCTCTCTTTCTGAATGCGGTCAGTCGGTCTTACCCAGGCAATCTTGCCTGTTTGGTTATGATGTCTTAACCTGTGAGTGGTTGTCAAGGAACAGCCAAACCTTCTGGCAATTCGGTGTGTAAAAACGTCCTCCTATGTCAACCGCTTGGTTAGAAAATGTATCCCTCTCGTATAGGAGTCGCATATTAAAAACATTGGAGCATTTCAATGGTCACGTGATATATGTAACTGTTGTACCACTCATCCTCAATTTACATGATGATCGGTTGCGTTGTTGTTACGTAATAGTAAAATTAAATCCATGGGTATCCTTGTAGCAATACACATATGGGTGACAGGTTTTTGCTGGTGAATTATATTTAATTAAGCATTTTCATTGCTATCTATTTCTAGTCAAGGCATACTCTCAACTGTTGCGTCATTTGTTTTTTTTTTATAAAAGTGATATAACATTGTATTTTATCATGTTCTTTTAGAGAGCGACGAATTTGTGCAACTTTCTATTCAATTAAGCCAGCCAGAGATAGAAGCAGATCTGGTCCAGAGATTTGCCCAGAGATTGGATAACACAATGGCGGAAATGATGGAGGACTTGAGTGTGGAGAGTTCAGATCATCATCTGAGCTCGGGATGCATCATCCTTGGCATGAAAGTCATTGGGTTGAATTCCCTGAAAAATTTATTGCTGACAAAACGAAGCGGAGAGTTGGAGGCACGTCTAACAAAGTTTCTTTTAACCCCAGAAATCACCAAAGGAAAGGACGTTTCTCTCAAAGTCGAGATACAAAATGAGGAAAGACTGCAAATATTGATAGATCTGAAGGACTCACTTTATGTTAAGGAGGGTGAGTTTACTTTAGTTGACCGACTCCGGTGTCGAGAAGCACTACCATTCTAGAGTCCGTCTTTTAGACGCCCCTTTACATGCGAAAACGACATGCACCGTGTCTATTTCGTATGTCCTATAGCAGCGGAATTGACAAGGCCCATGTCGCATTCGTCTTTTACTACAGAGCTTTGAGTCCCAAAAATGACATGGCTGTGTCTGTTTCGCCTCTTCCTGAACTCCATGGATGCAAGATTGACACGACCCACGTCGCGTTCATCTCTTACTGTGGATATTTCAGCTTCAAATGGCTATGTTATAAAAGGCAATCTTGCATTTATGGGAGCCAGCAAGTTACGAAATAAGCATGACTATGTCAATTTCGTGTTTTATAAAATCCACAGTATAAGACAAATGTAGCGTGGTTCTGGTCAATTTCGCATCTATGGGCCTCAGTGAATGACGAATAAGACATGACCATATGAATTTCGAGTTTTATAACAGCCATTTCAAGCTCAAAGAGACGAACGCGACATGGGTTCTGTCAATCTCGCATCTATGCAATTCAGTAAGTGGCAAAACAGACTCAGCCATACCATTTTCGGGTCTCAAAGCTCTGTAATAAATGACGAACGCGGCATAGGCCTTGTCAGTTCCGCTGCTATAGGGCTAAATAACATACGAAATAGACGCATGTCGTTTTCGTATTTTAAGGGGGTCTAAAACACGCACGCGTAGGCTCTTATGGGCCATGGTAAGACACTTATAGCCAGCATTTTAGATAGTGAGTGGGGGTGGGAGGTGTCTTTTTTCTGAAAAAGTGAACCTTTGGTTAATGGCATACAACCTGGGTCAAATGTTGATTCAGAGCGGACCTTTTGCTGACTGACTGCAATTCTCCAACAGCACATAAAAGAAGAAATAATTCTGATATAAATTAATAACTTTACTTTTCTGTCCAAAGCGTCCGAAGCAACTAGTAGCCAGAGTGTGCGATTTGCCTACTGTGCAGAGAGACGAAAGTGGTTTTGGACCCCGAACGACAAAAATCACATTTGGATGGAAGTAAGAGAACTTGACAGGGCGTGAGCTGTTGTTTATATCCCTACGTGTGTATAATGCCTCTGTTGTCGAAACGAAACGCGTTTGTCACTTCTACTGCCATGTTTATTTTAGGAAATTATTCTATAAGAGACCATTCCCACAGATATTTAGATCGATCCCCCTGGGGAGTCTCACTAGATTGCTGTCGGCTTAACTGGCTTAAATGTCTGTCCCGCCTACTAAAAGCTGTAAGGGGGTAATTAACTTTCGTGCGCGCTCGGCTCCCGGAAGCTGACAGCAATCTAGCGTGAACCCCCAGGGGTCGATCCAGATGGATCGATCTAAATCTGTGGGAACCCAGTCTAACAGTTAATGTTGAGATTTTGATGACACAGTAGTTTCTTAGAGAGCATTCCCATAGATATCTGGATCGATCTATCTCCCTGGGGAGTCTCTCTAAATTGCTGTCAACTTTACCGGCTTCAAAGTCTGCCACGCCTAGTAAAGCTGCTAGGGGTAATTATCTTTGCCCCTAGCTGTTTTGGATCGATCTATGTATGGGAACCCAGATTTGAATTCTTCAGAAACCAGCACTATAGTAATAGTTACTGTAAGATAAACAGAATCTTAGGTAAATGAACATGCATGTGTCAAACGCTATTTCATTAAACATGTATTGATATATGTTTTTAGGTAAGCCACGAGAGCGTCCAAAGTGGTTCTCGTAAAGGAGAGATACCAGAGGAGAAATACCTGAAGGTCATACGATTTCTACGAACAGAAAAACCCATACTGGAGCGCCGTAATACTGACTGCAACATATGTGCGTAATAAAATATTACCGTTAACAGCCACTGTTGTTAATTTACTTCTGCTCTTGTGTTTCTTTTCCTTTATTCTTTCCCAAGTTTCTTACGTTTTTTTCTCATTTGTTGTATATTTATTCAGTTTAGTCTATTTTTTAATTGTACACATCGTTAAAGCGGTCGTCGCTATCATAGTTGTTATTGTGTTTTAGAAATTCTATAGAATATAAAAATAAGTTATAGTCATTGTAAGAAATATACATATATCGAAGTAAAGAAAAAAAGATATTTTATATCTTATTTTTAATGATCAGGTGACTATTGGTAAACGCTGGAAAGACGCGCAAACCAGATATAAACAACAGAGCATGTAAGTAGGAAAAATATGTTTTAATATGTTTCCTAAAAGAACTAGACATAAACGATATTACAACATAGCCGGCTTTTAATTTAAAATGGAGAGAGCTTTGTGAATTAAACGTTGATATTGACTAATATGTTTTAATTTGTGTTATTTAGACAAGCAAATTTTATTTCCATAATACAGGTGCCCAGCTGCCTACGATCCAAGAACCAGAGTCAGGGGCCTGTGCTGAGCCTGCAATCACTGCAATTGGTGAACAAAGTGAAGGACAAATACCTGTATTAAAAAGCAATCGGTCAGTAGATACAAGCACTGAAGTACTGAGGATGATAATTTTGTATATTTGTATATTTGTCTTTTAAGAGACTTGATGCCTTTTCCCAATAAGAACCTGCTTAATGGATTTTGAAGATAGGCTTCACCTGGCCTGGGTCCCCTGCCCCTGCCCCTCCCCAGTAACCGATTATTTACCGACTAATCTATTTCTGTTCCTTTTGCCTCACGTAGCCTTTCCTTACCTACGTTGAATGATGCAGAATTCCCGGGATCGTATGACTCAGGTATTGACACCATCCCTAAAAGCTTCCAACAAGAACGCATGGACCTGGTGCCCTGGCCTGTGAGCAATGAATATATCATGCAATGATGTGTACTCTAACTGAGATACAGTAAGATAATCGTCTTGTAAGAGGCCAACGGAAAAACGCTAAAAACGTTGAAATTCAAGTCCAGGCAGATTGGTTAGTTTCTAAGGCGAGATTGCTGTTTGATATCTCAAATGAGCGAGATTCATAACCAGCTATACAATTTTCAGACAACTTTTAAAAGTTAAAACTGTATAGTTTTAGTTAATTGGTGATACATATTATAAGAGTACCTGGGGCGGATCCAGGATTATTTGAAAGGGGGGAGGTCCGCGGATGCGAAGCCGACCCTCACCCCTCTCCCCCCTCTCTTGGCGTGGGGTTTGGGGTCTGCTGAAGGGCCCCAAAATTTTTTGGTATTTTAGAGGGCGCACGGTGCCATTTGGTACGGTTTAGAACTATAATTCCGTTAGTCAAAATTCTAATTTGAAGAGCAACCTTCGAATCGAAGAGGGGGGGCGGGGGGGAGGGGGAGGGGAATCAGGACCCCCATGACACCCCTCCAAATCAGCCACTGAGTCTAGATATACAGATATATAAATATTACATAACGGCATATAATATGCTAGTGATTTAATACTGCACTGCATTTTGCCCAATCGTTCAAAATCAATTATGTTTTTTTTTAATATGTTGATGGATACCTTTTATTTGAAATAGTTAAATTGGGCTTGATAAATGGCAAAAGAGTTTAATTTGCGGGGCCACCCACCCTATTTAGTGAATAAGAGCAACAGTTATAGAAAATATTAATTGGAATGAATTAGAAAACGTGGCAAATAAAGGAAAAAGGAAAATACATTATAAATTTAATGTGTCAAAAAAGATACATGTATATTTGTGCAATGACAATAAAGATGGTTAATAAATGTACCATAAAATGAATTTGTGCACTGACATTCTTGTTTTATTTCAAACATACGTTACGGCAAAACAAACATCTGATACTGAGCCTAAAATAACATTTATATGGCGATTATTGTCGTAAATATCGGGTATAGAAGTCTTTACTTTAGCTTCGCTCATTTATCCATTGATGCTATAAATATTTTAAAACAATATTACAGGCCATCACGAAACGACAGATATATAAATTACTACATGTACATTTAATTTATGATGAAGACAAAGAAAAAGAAGAAAACAACAACAACAAAAAACAACCAAACTATCCATGAAGACAGCAAATGAATATTTTTATCAAATGCCAGTCCCTGAACCTCCCTGAACCTAGGTTAAGTGCCCAGAATATCCCACATAAATGATCTAAAATGTATATAAAAAGAGCACAGGTAGTTTTTTATATGCTGTTTCTCGGTGCATATTTGCAGAACCTAGTACGTTCATCGAGGAAAAAATTTTTAAAAATTAACGAATTTTTAAAAAGAGGAAACGAATAAAGATAACCACTGAAGATTTATATTTGAAGTTATACCAGCACAAAAGCTGACCATTTATGAAAACATGAAATTAAAATAATAACCATAATCAAACTCATAAATAAATAAATAAATAAATAAATAAATAAATAAATAAATAAATAATCAAACGGATCCCTGTTTGAATGAAGTGGTACCGGTAAATGTTAAAAAGGTCTCAGTTCACTGCATAATTTACGACTAAAGTTTTATGAACGTTAGGTGCTGGCAATGCTTTTAAACCATCCGAGCTTCAAGACATTCTTGTTGACCCTGAATTTGCTGTGTTATCTTTCTGCAGTGGTGGTAACTGGGTTGTTTACTATTGTTAGTCGTTAAAAACCATTAAAAGAAATATATAAATAACACATATTTTGTGGTTCTTCTTATGTTTGTTTACTTCCATACTTTTATTAATTTCCATCTCTTTTGTACAGGAGGGGTGGATTCAGGATTATTTGAATGGGGGTCCCTCTGCGTGGGTTTCGGGGCCCTGTTCAGGTATCTAAAAGAAGGGTACATGTGTATCTAAAATTATTCACCTATTGCATACTAGCATTTACTTTCAGATATTATCTTTCTGTAGCGGCCTTCTCCCTGTTTACACTAAGCGTAGTTGTATAAATACCATAAGAGCATGTCAATCAACTTAAGTTACTCTACTAAACACTCCCCGCTCTTATTCGCTGCATGCTGTCACTTACTAACGTTACTTAAGTGTTAGAATGATTCTATACACATTAAAAGTTCATAAAAGCCTCAGTTCTTAAAATTTGATAAAGCCCATGGGATAAAAGTTTTAGATGATCGTACAGTCCTCAGTTTTGGCACAGTGTACTTATAAACCTTGCGCAAAGTGTGGGAACTTTCATTTATCTCTGGTAGCAAATGATGGATTTTGTGTCCTTCGGAGTACATGTTATGCAATAATGTTTTAGATAGTTCATCTCTTCTACAAGCAAGAGTGATAATTTTACGTGTCAAGTGCCCCATCATAGGGCAGCTCTGGGAATATAATCTTACATGCTCTAATCTGGATGGATTCAATTTTATCAACTTGTTGTTGAATGAGACCTGGGTGCCACACCTGAATGAAATAAAAGGTTGAAGTCAGCACCTAAGCCTCTCTCCACAGAAGTAAAAATGTATTTAGAATTTAGCTAGTCTTAGTACATGGAAAAAAGCGGAGACGCGTCCAGTACTGTTTTAAATAAAATCGTTTTTGGACTATAACCACAGTAAGTAGATGGCTTGCTTGCAACTGAACTACGGGGCTTTATTCTCTTTACCAGAGGTCCCTTCTAGCTGATACAAATTTGGGCGTTCATTTTTGTAACAGTTAGAGGGGCCTTGGTTAGAGAGTAACTGGGTCAACAGGGGAAGCATCATTTATCTATTTTATCGTTATGTATATATAATACTTGTGGTGTGTGCAATGAAATTGCGCACATTTCCTGTACATACATAGTAAGTCTTTTGACGGTTTAAACTTTTACTTAAAACGGCGATGAACACGACCTGGCGCGCATATCTACAAATACCTTAACTGGCTACATGACTTCCTATCATCAAATTAGCGCGTACAATATTGCGTACAGCCTCAAATCTTGGTAAGAATAACATGCAATATTTTACCAGCAATTACTCCGTGTTGAGACTTCTAGTAAATGATCCGTCAGTACTCATCCAAAAAACGCCACATTACGAAGTCGATTCTAATTAATGAAAAAATATAATCCAGTTTCTCTGTCACTTCTCGTAGCTACATGTACCACTCCAGAGTGTTGAATGTGCAATACTAAAAAAATGGCGTGTTATGATTTCCCGCATCATTTCCGGTCCTCGGTGTCAATGTTTTGAGCAAACAGAACTTTATCTCAGTGAAAAGATTCGCAGGTAATAACGCCAGACACCAATGTGGTTTTATCAGTGATCAATGATCGCAGGGCGGGTAAAATTGAAAAGGCGACAAAAACGTCACGAATGAAGTGTTTGCTTACTAGTGAGATAAGCGGTTCACTTAAGGCAAAACCGAGGAATAGGACACTGATAGTAAGTCCACCCACCTCCCCATTGCACCACCCCATTAACATTCCAGTAAAAGCTCATAAAACTATAAAAAATAATGTATTTCCCAATATAAAAAGTTAAGTGAAGAAACATACATGTACCTCTCTATTTCTCTCTCTCTCTCTCTCTCTCTCTCTCTCTCTCTCTCACACACACGCACACACACACACACACACACAAAGAAAAAAAAGAGAGAGAAGCACGCGCACACACAGAAACACGGGCACACATATGTGTATATATATATATATGCATTCCTTCTTCCCTTATACACACCAACACGCTCTAACGTACACTCACACTCACTCTCTCTCTCTCTCTCGTGCGCGCGCACACACACACTCGCACACACACACGCACACACACACAGGGTGGTACAAATAAACACACACACCAAAACACACACACACACAAACACGTAGTCCAGGTAACGTATAGGTTTCTACACTCTCAATTTGGACCCGTAGATAATATGATGTTTTCAACTGCCACTCATGTCCACACGTTCATATCGACTATATTCGAAATACATGTAGGTTCATGTAGCTGCTACTAAATATGCACATGTATTTATTCTGTAGTCGTTCATATATCTCTTAACTTCTTTGCTTCTATTATTTTTCATCCATATTGTACATGCACACCCCCCCGGACAATTCCCCCCGGACTATTCCCCCCGGACAATTCCCCCCAGGACCCCCCCCCCCCAGGATAATTCCCCCCTCCCGGACGATTCCCCCCCGAAAGAATATATATTTATATATACAATATAAAGTAAAGAGTACAAAGTTCAAATCTTTTCATCCATTTTATGAATATTTCTCAGTTTGATGATGCAACTCGAGGACAGATAATATTCATTAAATTAAACAAATTATTTTCAAGTAGTACAAGTACAGAAAATTTTAGAGATATAAGTACAGAACATTTTGTTAAAAATCTGATCAAAGTACATCTCTAGTTAAGGTGGGGTAAACAGATGATCTCACTCATCCAGGTGACCCTTTGATAAATTAACTGTCACTTTTTTAAAAGTTAAATTAAAATTGCTTAATTACTATCCCCCCCCCCTTGATTAAGTCTTGAATCAAGGTGCATCTCTAGGGAGAGGTGGGGTAAACAGATTTTCTCGCTTATCCAGGTATCCATTTGATTATTTGTCACTTTTAATTGCTTGACCACTACCCACCTACTCACTACCCACCACAATAAAATATTCATAAAATATCTGTTTACCTGTTTACCCAAACTTTACCTGAAGGATAGGTGGTTATACTTTGATTAGATGTTTAATAAAACTTTCTGTACAAGTACTAAATGAAAAAGGACTTTGTTATGAAATAATTTGTTTCATGATGAAGTTGCATTGTCTTACTAAAATATTAATAAAATGGATGAAATGTTTTAAACTTTACACTTTTTACATTATATTTGTGTATAAATAGATATTTCTTGGGGGGAATCGTCCGGGGGGGAATTGTCCTTGTCCTAGAATCATTCACAATGTTTGTGGTGAATAAGATAACGTTATATTGAACCTCATAGTCCTAGAGAAGATGATTTCATCTGCAGGGTTAACCTTTATCCTGACCACAGACACATGAGAGGAAAACACGTGTCCATTTGGCAAGTAAATCACATAACGTATTAATGCTAACAATTCCAGTCAATGGTCAAAAAGGTACTTGATATTTTATGTTAAAAATTGTTATAGTCAATCAATCATGGTGAAGAGTGTTTTCTCATTAAAAGCCCACTTTTTTCACTA